ATTAAAATATTTAAAAAAATTATTTTATATGGACAAAAAGGGGTTAGTAATTTATTTTTAGAATAAAAATCAGGGGAGAAAAACAAAAATCGGCTGATTTCTCAAAAACCCCTTTTTTCCCGAAGCATCTTTTTGCTAGGATGGAACCCAATTTGTCAATTTAACAATCTGCAAAATAAAAATAGTCGATCGACCAACTTTTAAGGAAGATTTTACGAGAACCACAAAGACAATAACCGGATTTTTATTTATTGATTGATCGTATAAGAAAGTGATGCCCTCAAGAAAAACTTTATATCAGAAAAATTTTATCGGCTATAAATAGCTGATTAACCATTTAAGGGATAATTTGTTCTGGTCCAGTGCGCGAAATTGAGTGCGGGCGCGCGCGTGTTACATTAAAGGTAGCCAATAATCTATATATTAGCAGGATTTGTTGAGAAAATTCGTGTAACAAATCGAAAAAAATTATATTAATTAATATATTAATTAAGATTTATTACTTTATTATAATAGAATAATTCCATTTTTTGTCATTGATGATTATTGATTAAAATACCATAAATACAAGATGTTTTTTAAAATTCAACATAAAAAATCTAGATAAAAAAAACAATTTTTTATTGCTATTTATTCATTTAAAAATGCTTAATAGTAATTTAATGATTTTACTAAATGGTCTAGATATTCAAGATTTTAAATTTTGAGAAAGAATATGAACATTGGACAAATAAAAAAGAATAAATAGTTTTTGATCAACAAAATGTGCGCATTTTTTATGTAACATACGCGCCCCGCACTCAATTTCACACGAGTCTCGGTGATTTTTTCCCAAATAGGAAGTATCATATTGTCATATTTGATAGCAAAATCGTCCAACTTCAAACCACAAGGTTTTTTTTTTTATTGTTATTAATAAAATTGAAAAAAGCTCTCTATTTCATTGTTGCTTAGAGTTAAAATTATAAATTGGCAGCAGACAGAATATTCGATTGAAGTTGAAAGTGTTGTTGGTAACAATAATAAGAGGACTGGAAAGATTAGAGGAAGAATGAAGTAAGTATTTGTAATGGGAGGGTTATTATCGTTTTCAAACATAAGGAGCGTCATTTATGGATTTGAAACTGAGTAACCAATATTGAAGGCTTTAGGAGTAACCAGTTAGTTTCTTAATAAATAAATAAAATCTATTTTTATCATTTTCCCGATCATGGTTCTAATTGATCTTACATTATCAGGATCATCTGATAATAATAATTTTTTTTTCATTGTTGTAGCCAAGAGTAAGTAAAACCATATAATTTATTCCAAAAATAGAATTGTATAAACTAAATTCGTCACTATATGACATAGAGATAAATAATTTTTCCTTGGCAAGCTTGGCGCTTCATTCTTTGGTGAACAGAATTAATTTCAGAATTTAAAAAACCATTTAAAATTAAAATTTGAATGTATGCTATTATTATTTTTTATATACATGAAATTAAAAATTTAATTCGATTTATATAGTTAATTAAATAATTAATTAATTATCCAATTGTCGCGTAAATTAATCATATTAACCATATTAATATCCATTAATTTCTAAAAACTGTATAAATATCAAAAAAAATTATAAAGCTATTAGTTGACGATTCTTCATTTTTAAATTTTTTTCACTAATCAGAATTTTCTTCAGAGAATCTTTCTTTATTTTCATAGAATTTTTTTTTTTTTTTTTTGGTTCTCTGTTGAACAGATACACTAACCAGCCAACTACCAAAATAAATAAACAAAAAAAATTTTTCTTTGAAATAATTACCTTCCTTTTTATTCACGTTTTAGAGAAAAATGTTTAAAAATTCATTATTATTATTTGGAACTGCCATTTATTTGTTAGCATTATCACCAATAGCTATAGAGGCTCAAAGAGCTGGTTACCCTACAGTAGATGTGCCGCCACCACCTGTCGCAGCTTGGACTGCTCTTGTTGACTCTTCTAAAGTTCCAAATGCTCCCGTCAGAAAAGCAGGTGATCCTTGTGATCCTAAAGATCCATTTTGCTATTGGTCATGTACTAATTGTGTAAAAAATGAGACTGATGTTACCGTTTGTCCTCAAAAAGGAGGTAAAACTTTTTAATAAAAAAAAATATATTTATGTTCTTAAAATTTGATTTTTCTTCGTCATCTAATTTATATTTTATTAAAAAAAAAAAAGATTGGGGTATTACATATGATGATGGTCCTTCGTAAGTTTATTTTTATTTTTTTCAAGTATAAAAAAAATTATTTTATTTTATTTTATTTTATTTTATTTTATTTTATTTTACTTATTGTTATTATTATTATTGTAGACCATTTACACCAATAATTCTAGACTATCTTGGGTCGAAGGGTTTGAAAGCAACATTTTTTGTTATTGGTTCCAGAGCTACAAATCATCCGGATGTTTTATTGCGAGCATCTAAAGAAGGTACAAAAAAAAAATAATTCATCAATATATAATAAAATAAATATTAATAAATATTAATAAAAATAATTAATAGGGCATCAAATCGGAATTCACACTTGGTCACACACATCATTAACGACCCAAACAAACGAAGTAATCATAGCTGAATTAAAATGGACCGAAAAAATCATCAAAGAAATAACCGGACTTACTCCCAAATATATGAGGCCGCCAAGAGGTGATTATGATGATCGTGTAAGGAATATAGCAACACAGTTGGGTTATAAGTCTGTCATATGGGATCACGATACCTTTGATTGGATGTCTCAACAAGATCCAAAATACGATTTAAATTGGATACCAGCAAATTTCACACAATGGGTAAACGAAGCATCAACAACCGGTCATGTTTCTTTGGAACATGATTTGTACCAACAAACTGTTGGAAAGGCTCCCAAAGCCATTGATATCGTTATTGGTGCTGGATTTAATATTAAAACAATTGCTAACTGTACGAACGAACTTCCTTATCTCGAAAGTGTTGTGTCTAACACTACTACTGCTACTACTGCTAGTTCTACAAGTGGTGTTCCTACCTATCAAACTTCTGCTGTTACAACGATCAATTATAATATTTTCATTATTGCATTTGGCGTTATCATAATCAACATCTTTACCTCGTTCTTATAATTTTTTTTTAGTCATATTTGCTATGTTTTTATGTAAATGTATAATTTTTTTTTAATTAATAATAATAAATTAAAAAATTAATTAAAGGCTGTGTGTGCCAAAATTTTGTGTCTGACTCTTGTGTTTAGGGTCGCCGCCGTGTTACATGTCAAATAATAGTGCACCAATTTGATGTTGCTTTTAAAAAAATGAGTGAAATATGGTAAAAGAATTATATTTGCTAACAGATATGAATCCATAATTTTATCATCTAAACAAGCGCGCTCACATATGCACTTAATATATATATATTGTTGAATAACAAGGGGTTTATTAGATAGTTTATAAAATTACGAAGGGGTTATGATTACTGTATTCTTTAATGTTATGGCTTATGAGGAAACGAAGAAATAGAATTTGAAAATTGGTTCATAACCGTGAAACCAATTTTCACGATCGTAAAGTACATATCAATAAAAATTTATCTCAAATCCTAAACAAATAATTCCCCAATCATTATGATCTATATATGTATTTTAGATTTTTCCAACAACGAAATCAGACTTGGAAAAAACATTATTGATCCCAAAGATTTGGTGGTGCCAAACCAGTATCTGATTCAACAAATTTTATCATTTTACTGGTGCAAGGTGGCTATTACGCTACAGTCTCACCGGTCACAATTAAGTGAGAGAGCATGCGAGGATTATGGAGTCCCCTCCTACACTATCCAAGTAAAAATATGTGGATATTCGGGAAATTTATGGCATTCAACCATAGATGCTACCAAAATTAAAAATATAAAACTCCCAATCCAAATCCCCAAATTACAAATTATTCACATATTAAACCCTTTTCATTAATACCACTGTACAAATTACATGTTAATATTAATATGATATTTCAACAGTTGTCACAAATGAACATGACCAGGGAGGGAACCCCTACTTGATAATTCGCACCATATAAATACATAATCAAAGAAAATCATTTTATAAGATTTTTTAAAAAAATTCGTAGACATGTCTCCAATAGAAAATTGGGAAAAATGTAATTATAATTCTATGATAATAATAAATTGATCTATATCATTATATTAATGTAGGATTTTTATTAGACGATAAACAAGCTGAAGATAAAGAAGAGGAGAAAATTGTTGGTAATGATTTTTTCGATTAAAATGAAATTACTTTTTGTTTTAATTCCATTGTGATTTTCATTTTTTTGTTATTGTTGAAGCACTTGATGAAGGTGATATTGCACTTCTTAAGACCTATGTAAGTTATTTATTATATAATTTGTCGGTTGATTTCCAAATCTGGAATTCTTATGCACATTATCAATTTATTTTATAAGGGTCAAGGTCCATATGCAAAAGAATTGAAAAAAATAGATTCTGATATAAAAGATGTACAGAAACGAATAAATGAAAAGATTGGTAAATTTTAAATTGGAAGTTACCAGTAAAATGATAAACCGTTAAATTGGTGACTGTTATGATGATAATATTAATGATATTGTTAATCGAATTATTTAGGTGTTAAGGAATCAGATACTGGTTTGGCACCACCAAATCTTTGGGATATTCCTGCTGATAAACAAAGAATGCAAGAAGAGCAACCATTACAAGTATTATTTTATTTTATAATCGTCATTATTAATAATGATTAATGCCAGAGAAATTTAATTAGTTAATTATCAAATTTATAGGTTGCAAGATGTACAAAAATAATTGAAGCTGGTGAAGGTGAAGAAGCAAAATATATTATAAATGTAAAGCAAATTGCAAAATTTGTAGTGGCATTAGGTGAGCGTGTTTCTCCAACTGATATTGAAGAAGGAATGCGTGTTGGGTAAAATTTATATTCTTTTTTTTAAAAAAAGAAAATCTATGGCTTAAATTATATAATGGTTTTTTCATGTGTGTGTGTGTGTGTGTGGTGTGTATATAGCGTTGATCGTAATAAATATCAGATACAGATACCATTGCCACCAAAAATTGATCCTTCAGTAACAATGATGCAAGTTGAAGAAAAGCCTGATGTTACATATAGTGATGTTGGTGGTTGTAAAGAACAGATTGAAAAACTTAGAGAAGTAGTGGAATTACCATTATTACAGGTAAAAGATGTTATTTTAATAATATGTATATATATGTATGTATATATATATATATATATATATAGTAATTACAAATATTTAAAATTTTTATTTACTTAATTTTTTCAGCCAGAGCGATTTGTAAATTTGGGTATTGATCCTCCTAAAGGTGTATTGTTATATGGTCCTCCTGGTACTGGCAAGACTTTATGTGCGCGTGCTGTGGCAAATAGAACTGATGCAACATTTATTAGAGTTATTGGATCTGAACTTGTACAAAAGTAATTGTCATCCCTAATTTTAATTTATTAAATGTATCTGTTTTATAAGTATTAATATACTAACATTGTTTTCATATAGATATGTTGGAGAAGGTGCAAGAATGGTTCGTGAGCTGTTTGAAATGGCAAGAACTAAGAAGGCTTGTATTATATTTTTTGATGAAATTGATGCTATTGGAGGTATGATGGATTTTTTTATATGTTATAGAAAATAAAATAAAATCTTTTGTTTGTTAATCAATAATCTTTGCTGGTTTATTAATAGGTGCACGTTATGATGATGGAGCTGGAGGTGACAATGAAGTACAAAGAACCATGTTGGAATTAATAAACCAATTGGATGGTTTTGATCCACGTGGAAATATAAAAATTTTGATGGCTACAAATAGGTAAGCAAATAAATAATTATTGAAAATGTTAATAATAAATATTATGATCATTATTTGATTTTACCTATTAATTCTTTTGTAAATAATAGACCTGATACACTAGATCCTGCACTTTTACGTCCAGGTCGTCTAGACCGTAAAGTTGAATTTTCTTTACCAGATTTGGAGGCATCTATTAAATTTATTCATTGTTTTACTTTATTATTAGATTTTCGTAAATATTTTATTCTTAAAAATTATTTACTTGTTATCTTATAGGGTCGTACACATATTTTAAAGATTCATGCAAAAAGGTATTTTTTTAAAAAACTATTTTTGAATTTTTTGATTATTCATTCTATGCAAATTACATATTTATATATAATGATATTTTTGTTGATGTTAATACAGCATGTCTGTAGAACGTGATATTCGTTATGAACTTATAGCTAGGCTTTGTCCAAATAGCACCGGTAAGTATACTGATTGATTGATAAACAAAAATTGAATATACATTCACATTATTTATCTTACATATATATCTTAAAATAGGTGCTGAATTAAGAAGTGTATGTACAGAAGCAGGAATGTTTGCTATTCGTTCCAGAAGAAAGGTTAGGTTTATTATAATGTTTTTACTTTTTATTGGTCATTATTATTATTAAATAATAATACATATATACATAAATATATTTGTATATAGGTTGCATCAGAAAAGGATTTCTTGGAATCTGTTAATAAAGTTATTAAGGTGCGCATGAATGATATTTTTTTTTGTTACACATTTTTATTTGCCAAAAATTACCATTTTGCTAATATTATATTTTACATTATAGTCTTATGCAAAATTCTCTTCTACCCCAAGGTAACCTTTTTTAAATAATTTTAATTTCTTTTTTAAAGTTAATTTATTAATTATTAATTTTTTCTTTTTAATTAGATATATGACATACAATTAATTAGAGTAAAAAGTATGAAAAAAGTTTTTATATTAATTATTAATTATTATTAATTAAATAAATAAATCACTATTTTGAATAAAATAAACAGGATTTTACATTTTTAAATATACAATAATCCAAAAATCATATAATAACAAAATTGTTGAAAAAAAAATAATATATTATTGGTATAGTTGGCTCGGTCTAAAGACCTCCTAAATTCTGGGCAAATTTTAAAAGTATAGAAGTCACTTTCTGTCCTACCTTTTTAAAAAATAGCTCTATTAGTTGATAGAATATGTCTTTAGTTTTAATGTAATAGAGATTTTCCCAAATTATTTGTTGTAGAGTTCTATTCTTTTTTAAAACATGTACTTTACTATGCCCGCGAGGAATTTGTCCACTATGATCATTTCTAAATTTAGACTAGCACTTGACTATCGTATCTAAATTTGGCAGTAAGAAAACTAAAATCACGTGAAGCCCTATTTTTAAAAAATTTTATTACATTTTTGAACGAATTACAAAATTGCTATTTTGAAATTTGGCCGCATGGCGCAGCAATAGAAGTCTTTAGACCGAGCCAACCATACATTAATCAACATGTAAATAAATTCAAAACATAATAAAAAATTTCTTGCCTAATAAAAATAATTGCATTTTCTATTTCCTTTTACACTAATAAATTTAAATTGATTAAATTATATTTACATAATTTATATTTACCCTTGATTGACACCTTGAGATCTATCTTGACAATATCCAGTTTTTTGAAATGGGGTTTTTGTGAATAAAACCAGCTCAATCCCAACATCATCATTAACACATAAATCAGATAAAAATTCATTATGCAGATTATTGACTTTTACTTTTTTTTGTGTCTTGCTATCATCTCCTTGTATGTGACTGCCTCCATCCATCAAATATTCATGATGGTCATGATGTTATAATTGACATAACAAACAATTGCATCACCCAAGTAGTAACAATACCAAGGTCATGCATAAATGAAACTCTTAACAATGTATGTCTACCCGAGGATCAAAAAATAATTCTCCTTCTCATTGTATAGTTCCTTATGAATAATAGAACTGATGTTGATCACAGGTATCAGATTTAATTAAAACTTTCCTGTCACAAACATGCAGTCAGGTGCTTTCACACGCTTCAGCACCATGAATTTTCTCCACAGTTGAAGCACCCCACATGTTGGAAGGTTTTGGACAAAACTTTCCCTCATCTTCCTCTCAGACCAGGCTTGGCTGCTACCATATGATTGATTGCTGATGAGGATCAGCATTTGGGTGATGTTTGCTTTGTGTTATATCCCTCTCACTAGAATAAAGTTGGTGTATCCAACTGATTCAAAATTCTCCAATACAACCTGGGTTGTTGTTTTGGATTCAGAGTTTTGAGTCCTGGTTGCTGTCTTGTTGGTGGCACACCTTCTCATCAACAACCCTACCCCATTTATTTAAATAACCAATTCAGTTGTTCAAAATAAAAATTAAAGAGAAACAGAAAGTTTATGGGAAATGATTAATTTATAATATATCCAACTATTTTATTTTACAGCCTTCCTCTAACATCAGAACCCAAATGCAATTTCAGGGCCACCAACCCTGCTCTGAATTGTAACCTCCCTATGCTTGAAACGAGTTGTAGATTCTCTTAATATTCCTCCAGAGTTGCGACTTGGTTGCAGAGCCATCTTTACCCTAGAGATAGGATCGTTGCAGGCAACTTTTCGGCTAGTGTGTCAGCAGCCTTCTCTGGCGAGGGAAGATTAGTTAAAAGCGCCTTTGACGATTGATGCAGTCTCGGCAAACTCCAGGGCCACGTATTTCCCCCCCCCCCCCGGAATTCTGAATCATTGTATCATAGGTCCATCAGGTCAGATTATCCATGTGCACACGAGGAACGTGTGAGAATGACTGTAAAGTGTTCAAGACAGCGTGCATGCTTCAACATCCGCAAATTTCCGATAATCAAACATTGCATGAAATGTTTCTTTTTCAACTTTGACATCTTGTAATAAATATTAATAATATTATTATTAACGATTACGCAAAGCAAAATACCAATCGTTCATTTGGTTGTCATCTTGATAAGGATCTTATAATTACTCAACAAGATCTGCTCCGCGTTTTGATTTCAATTAAAATATTTATAAACTAAAAGACATCAATACAAAAAAAAGCGTACCTCTGTCATTAACACGTCTTCAGACCCAAACCATGCCAAACAACATCATTCGTATTTTATCATTGAAAAATAAATTGTTTTTTCAAAAAAAAAAAAACCAATTCGCGTCAACAAAAAAACCAATAGGATTTACATAAATAATTAATGTGTACGCGTTTGTCAACCAAGCAATAATTCTTCTAAAAAAACAAAAAATGTCTTCAAGAAATAATTCAAAAAGACAAAAAGAAGATTTTTAGAGGCATAAAATAGCATTGAATGTTCCTATTTTTTAAAAAAGTGATAATCAACAGACCCTGTGCAAATAAACGGCATTGAAAAACAATGTTGCATAATGCATAGTAGACATTGCACAATGCAATGGTATGCATACAGGATTTATTAACACAAAAATAATTTAATTTTGACATTTTATCAAGCAATTACATTATTTTTTTCCCATCTACATAAAATGACTTAAAAATTTCTATAAAATAGTTTTTCGTGAACCTCTCTAAAACTTATTAACCAATATCCCCCATAAAGCAATGACCATATATGAAAGCTTAAAGTATTCTACACCTTCTCATTTACTATCAAGTCTTTTAAAGTGATATTGAGAAATAATCTGAGCTTTGAAGTGAAAAAGTGACACCATTTTTGAATAGCCGTGAATTCATGTAGAGGATACCTTTCGATATGAAAGAGTATTCATTAGAAAGCTTTAATGGAGTATTTCATTTTAGTCTAACAACGAATTTCGAGTTTATTATAAAAATAACGAGATATTTTAAAAAAACTTCATGTGACACGAATCTCGAATTTATTTTCACATAATATAGAAAAGCAGCCTCGCACGACTAATATGTTTTCTTATTATCATAATCGTGTAGTTTCCGCCAAAATTCATCCGTCAATTTGAATTCCCGTAAGAATATTCGACATCCACCAAAATTAAAATATTTAGGCATATGAGATATATATTTTGAACATCCACAAAATGTATCTGTTATGACTTATCGAGGCCATAGTGTACTAAAGACATTGATTCGTTGTCATTTCGGATATTTTAATTTTGGCGGATGTCGAATGTTCTCACGGAATTTAAATTGGCGGATGAATTTTGGTGGAAAACTACACGATTATCTAAGGCTAGCCCCACAAGAAAATGTATTTGCTACACTATAAGAAGCATTACATAAAGATGGCTCCTCAATTAATTGCAACTAATCTCTGAGGTTTATTGAATTAATTTTTTGGTCTATTCTAAAGTAAGTTTACTAAATTAATATTAGATTATATTGTCAAGGTCTAATGGACAATTGTTCTTGAATATTAACTTGTTCATAAACAATACGTATTAATACTGAGATACACATGTGCAATATTTTTTTTTAATTAACAAATTTGTATTTACCTTTACGAAGTCATCATATGATTTAACAATTTTTCGGGAAGATCTTGCAAATGGCGAATCTTATTTCTTCCAACTCGTCATCAGTAAAAACTCCTTCGTTTACATATGAAAAGTCATCTAAATCCAAGTTAAACTATGAGATAAGCTAATAACAATGGAATAGGAAAGAAGGTCACAATGATGAATAGAATATTATAAACAATCAAAACAAAGAATATCAGTATCAATTCACTGCTCTTGGTCATAATTCTTTCCAAATTCATAGAGAGAATATTCTTCAACCGATTAACGCCATTTATTTTCATTTTTCATGGTTTAGAATGCTTTCGTGAAGTTTACAATATCAAGTTTTGGAGTATCAACGCTATTAAGAGGTCGTCCATTACCACCCGTCTCAAATCTTGCTTCTTCGAATGGTGATATTTCTGCTTCAATATCATCTTTGTCATCTACTATTATTTGATGGATGCTTAGGAATTTTTCAAGATCTACATGATTTAAAGTTTTCAAAATCTCATTGTAAAACTTTAACCTCGATCATAATTTCCTTAGCAACAAAAATTTGCATGACTCTTAAATTCCGTGACGCAAGTTGTATATGATTTTGTAGAGTACACTATGAGTCGATTGATGATGATGCTGTTGAGGAGTAGGACGTAATCAGAATTCATCACCACTAATGACATCATCCCTAACAAAATTACCCTGGATCCTACAGAAGAATAAGGTAGTAGTAGGTAAGTAATTAACCATTAACCTTCAATTAAGTAGGCAGATAAACAACATCCACTAACCTTGAATTTTGCTAATAGTCGATCACTTGTAATAATGTGTTCATATTCACCTGGTACATTAGACTCAATACGATGAACATGCTTGACTCTTTTATTATCAATTTTTGGTTGATCTTGTCTAATAAATAAATACAAGCTTCTTTTTTACAATTGTCGAGATGTTATTTTTTTTTTTAAACTAGAAAAGCTCTTTAAAATAATAACTATTCTAAATTTAATTCTTTCTTGCTCTGATGTGTTTTTCTTTGACTTCTACTCTATCTACTTTTAAAAAATTTATTTTACAATAGCAAATTTCAATCACTTTTTAATCCTGATTTTGTTTATTTTTTTTTTAATTTATTTAACTCACCACCTAATTTAATGTGAAAAAAAAAACCAATTATACATTGTAAATGAGAAATTTATAAAACAATAAATTTTATAATCTATTATAAGAAAAAAAAACAATAATCAACAAAAAAATTAATTTTCATATTTAATAATGCCAAAATATTTGGCAAATATGATATCCTCCATCAACTCAGCATCAGCGTGTGACATCAAATCATAAATCATTCTTTCTCTCTTAATAATTTCCCAATTGTCATGAATATATTGTAACGCCAAGTTTTTCAACGAAAGATTCTTGATTTTCCAACCAAGTAATAAAATATCAGCCCAATC